CTCACACGCCCTCATTCCACAACCAACGCAAGGAACAAGAGGGAAACCAGGCTCAGGGATCCTGCTACATTTAGTGCACCTGTCTCGTCCATCATCTCCCCTCAAGGCTTCAGGGAGAAGACCACCATCTCCCTGCCTACCGGCACCATTCACACTATAGCCGAGGCTAAGACCTGGCCCAAGGTTACCACCGCTCGCAACACTTGAGGGGTAACCTGCAGCATTGCTAGGCTGACTAACGCCAGCGCCAACCCCTTGGTGACTAACGCCACCTCCGTAGGCAGGACCATAGAAGCTGGAACCACACTGATTGTTCCCAGTTTTTTGAGTGTCAGCAGCACTACCATGGAACCCGGGTGCTCCACCAGGGTAACCCCCGGTAGGCGCCCCTCCACTCGGGGTCCAGCGGGACCTGGGCCTCCGCCAGGATGTCCAGGACCTGGTGGTGGAAGTGGAGCATGTCCATGACCACCGCTTCCGCTCCCACCTTGACCAGGTGGTCCGCCTTGCCCACCACCTCCCCCGGGAGGAGGAGGAGGGGGCGGTCCAGCTTGAGCGCATGCCGAATATTGCAGCGCGCACATCGCTCAAGGCCGTCATTTCCAAAGTAACTGTGATTCTCACAGACGTGAGTCCCACAATCCGTGCAGAAATACATGGAGACCTCCTGAGCATTCTTGCGACATGCCCAGCATTTCATTTTCAAGAACTGACAATTGCAACAGTCCCCGTCGTCACCCCGGCAAAGCCTGCAAAACTCACGATTGCACGTAACACACGAGAATTCAGCGCTTGGGTGCCTACGGTCGTTGGGATCATCGAGGGCACAAATCTTTGGCGCATCTGGGCCACCGGTACCGGGAGCTCCTCTTGCGGCCGGTGCTGAGGCCTGTCCACGATCAGATGGAGCTCCAGGGGTCCTCCACCTATCGCCGGGACTCTGGATGTCGGCACTAGCTCTACTCCCAGGAGTCCTCCAGTCATCGCCGGGACTCTGAATGTCGGCATGGGCCCTAATACCCCTACCACCTCCTGGATGACGGTCTGGGTTCGGAGAGACGTTCCCGCTATCGCGGATCGCGGATTGGCCTGCCGACTTCGGACCTCAGATCCCCCATCGGGGACGGCAGCAGGCCTCGGGCTCCTATTCCTACCCACATCCCTATTGGGAGAAACAGAAATGTCCCCCCTTGCGCGCGCGCGGGGGCCATCCCTCGCACGCCCTGGCGGTGAATGCGACCTGTCAGGCAATCCCCGAGCCCTCCTGCTTCTGCTGTCATCCCTCTCCCTATCGGGATAAATGGGATGCCTGTCTGCACGAGAAGGATCGACCCTACCGGGCACATCTGGCAAAGCGTGATCGACCAAATCGACACCTCCGCCCGGTCTCACCGGAAGGCCAGTACCCCGGCCATTACCTTCTCCGGGAGTGGGCGTCGGAGACCTGATTCTGTGTCCTTGCCCCGCGAGTATCCGACGTTCCGTCTCTCTCTAGGCTGTGGGGGATTCGCCTGATTGTCCTGGGCACCTTGAATAATGACAGCAGCTTCATCAACATGACCTTCGATTTCATAGAGCTGAGCCATGATCCTGTTGTTCATTCCATTAAGAGTACGCATGTTACTCTCAACGGTGCTGATCCTCCGCATAGCGCCCTCAAGCGTACCCCTGAATGAGTCAATCTCACGCCTAACGGCAGACCGTGCTTGATCACTATTTGCAGGGAGACTGCGGATCTGTCTTCTGATGTCATCAAGAACTTGATTCAGAATTCCCGAACTCGCCTCGTACTGCTCAACACGGGATTTCAAGGTTTCAAACCTTGCAAGGGCATCGTCATGGTCCCCATGGTGGCGTTGAGCTCCACGGGATAGATCCTGGATCTTTCGATTGACTTCGTCAATCGCTTCATGCCAGTCCTGCGGGGATACGGGCCCTGATGATCTATCGATCGCCTGTGAACCCCTTCCACTTTGCAGCCTCGACATCCGATTAGCAAGAATGGTTTGCTCTTCATTTATTCCACCAATAGATTCGGAGGCCCACTTAGCAAACTTCTCATGTTCGAGGAGAGCCTTCTCGAGCTTCAGGTTCAACTCCCTGAAATTCGCGTTCACCACACTGCTACTGGCCCTATCGGACGGTTGCGCGACAGGATGCAAACTCCATTCACCTGCTGGCGTCCGCATCCCGACGGTTTTCTCTACCGAGAACATCCGTTTCTCGAGCTTCTCCAAGTCCTTAAGGATCTCATCCTCGGAAGCAGCACTGCTCCTGTGGACGGCCTCACGATTCTCTTGAATCATCTGACGAAGCCGATCAGTCGAGGCCTCATTTTCCTTGACAGATTCGTGAACCTCGTGGGACAGTAGGTTGATCCTCTGCTCCACGACTTCAGCCTGTTCATCGATGGCTTGCCTAACAATGGCTTTGCTGTCGGGAATAACTTCCCTCGCAAACCGTTGAACTATCATTCGCATCCTCCCGGCATCAGATTGAGTTGCAACCTCAGCCGCCAGGCGATCGACCTTGTCCTTCGTCTGTCGGCTCTCGTCGCTCCATTCCCTTCGCAAGGAACTCACCTGACCGTTCAGTAACCTGATTTGGTCAGCAAAAATATGGAACGCCTTCGCGACTGAGCCAGAAACCTCACCCCTCTCGAGCATCTCCTGGATGTGCAACTCAAACATCTCCTTTGCCCTGACGTCACCTGATTCGCCGGAAGACTGGGATCTGAGGGCGGGAGGAGTCGATATCTCGATCCTCTCAGGAGCCCCACCAGCCCCGGCATGTCTTCTTGGGTCACCTACGGGACAATCATCAATCCTGGATGGCCTACTCGGGGTAGATCCCCTTCTCCGGCTATCGCCAGATCGGGGATCAATGTTGGATGCACGTGACTCGGGGGTGGAGTGAATGTGTACATCAGCAGGATCGGGCATCTCCTCATCCTGCAGAGCCAAACCCATTGGTGAGGGGCTAGCCCTCCTCGCCTTCGACCTATCGGTCTCAATGGCGAGAGGTGACGGCCTCTTCGCAGAAACACTACGTTCCCTGGCGGTCGAGCCCCATTGAGGTGTAAACTCGTTACTAGACCTCAGCGTTTCAAGATCGCTGGTATCTCGCCCTAACGGGCTAGCGATCGACGGACGATCTTCGATTCCGAGTGCATCGGCAAGCCGACCATCTCTGGCACCTGTCCTAACGACATCGGCAGCCCGCTCAGTGATCCTCGGCGAACCAGTAACCCGGTTCGAGTTCACGTCTCTCTGACTCAACGGACCTCCAAAGGTAATGTTGGGAAAAGGGGGAACATTCGGGGTATCACCAATCGCCGGAGGACCTATCGGTCCCTCACGGTCATGGATGGCCTCCAGTCCCCGAAGAACTTCCCGACTATCCCTAGCTCTCTCTCTCTCGCTTCGGACGTCCCTGTCAACACGAAGGTCCCTGGCGGCTCCACGAGAGAGGCTCCTGGGCCTCGCAGCATCACGGATCCTAGCACTTCGGCGTGATTGGTCCTCCTCCTCATCACGGCGATCCGCAAATGCGGCATACTCGTCATCATCACCGACCTCAAACTTGGCAGCGGCAGGGCTAGTCCTTGCAGCCGCACGGTTGCCTGCATTTCGGCGCGAATGGCCCTCCTCCTCATCCGCAAAATTGTAATCTTCGTCATCATAAGACTCAGATTTGGCAGTAATAGGGTTGGGCCTACCGGCATCAGATCCCTGCTTTGAGCTACTGCCCCATCCTGCGGTCGATTTCAACAGATCATCGTATCCGAAGTCTGAGAACTTCCGCTCCTCGTGCTCATCAAACTGACCTGGATTCTGAGAACCAGTGGACCGGCCCGGGATACCTCCCGGAGCCAGAACCATAGTCCCTGGTCCCTGCGGCCTATTCTCAAACTCATCCGAGACCTGCGACTCACCTGGAACAAGAGAGGTCGAACCGGCATGGCCTCCGGGTCATCCGAATGAGGGCGGGCCATGTCCATCGCCATGCTGATGAAGTCAAAATGTCCACGCCTGTGACCTGATTCAGAGCCACTCCTATCGGAGTAAACCCTTCGTGTCTGCTCGTCATCAGTGGCCTGGCGGAAAATACGATCGTCTCCATCGTCGGCGTACCTGCCACGGCCCCTGGGTGTATCCCTACCGGGATCTTCACCCCTGCGGTCCTGACCTGTCGAACCTGCTTCGAAATCCTCGTAGTCATAGTCCGGTAGGTCCTCACCTGAGCGGAGGCCACCTAGGATGGCCTCCTCATCCACGACGCTCCTTCGAGATCGTGGGGTCGACATAGAGCTTGTAGTTGATGGTCTCAAGCGCGTAGGAAAGTCCTACGGCTGATAACCTGTGATTCGGGCACGAGCCTGTGCCCAGGCAATGGGTAAGTTGGGGTAAACAAGCCACAAAAGAAAGGTTCCCCAAAAGCAAACCAATCCCCGGTCCCAAAGATCAGGGTTTCCCACACACCAGAGAACAACAACCAAAAGGAAACAAACCAAACAAGAAAAGGGTTAACCCGCAACCTTGGTCGACAACAGGCCGCACGACTGGTCCCTACCAACCTGGCGGCGGCCCGAGGTCTCTTTCTCCCCCGAGATGCCGTCGGTCGACGCAGGGGTTCGGCGACGCCCATTCGAGGCGCGACGGAACCCAAAACTTGAGCCAAAACACCACAGGTCGGTCACTAACGCGACGTTCCTGATGATGATATGAACCATGGCTAATCACAGAAAATAATAATTTTAGCAGTTTCAAGGACGTTGAAAACCTGAGCGCTCACGGCGCTGCGTTCAGAACCAATTATAGACTACGGACAAATAGCATCTGTACAGTACACATGTACACGAGCCACCAAGCTCATTGATCAGAAACCCTAAAGAATCAAAGCACCTATTGGTTGGGACCAACGTTCATTACCCAAGCGTTCCATGAGGCTGCGCTTTAAAAGCCTCGTTGCTCGAGACGGGAACCTTCTGGGTCTCCAGCGAAGTGGCCCTTCATGAACTCGGGATCCTGGGCAAATAGGGTTTAGAACCAAGTTCAGTCAAGACCCTAGGAGCGCCGTGTTGGCGATGCTGTTGTCGCTGCTGGTGTTTCTATTGCCGCGGCGCTTCTGTGTTGTTGTTGAAGCTGCTTGTTGTTGCTGTGTTTGTTGCTACCGTAGCCCTTCTACCGCTCTTGCTCTCGCTGTTCCTTGAATCGCGGCTGCCCCAACCCTACCCTCCAGCTACATGTAACTCAAAAACCCGGGCCAAGAACTCGGACTTCCCCGATAGCCACAACAAGAACCACGCCTGAACGGACAGGTCCACGTCGTCCACGGCGGCCCAGCGCGTCTCCAGCTCCCCACGAGCTGTGAGGAACTCTTTGATCTCCTGCGCGAGAGCACAGGTATCCCATAGCATTCCATCGTCTTCACTTTGTGCGGGATTTGATAGCACCTGGCTAGGCGATATGGCTGCCTTCATTGCCATCTGCCATTTGTAACCCGAGCTCTGAGTGAACCTCAGGCCATAGCAATCTTGATCCAAAATATGCACGAGCTCCAGAAACCACCGGCATGGAAACCTTTGCAACTGGCACATGATTTTGTCATCAAACCCAACATGGCCATTGTGACTGGGGGTCCTTTTTCGGGGGTGCCCTTGGCAACCATATTCAAGAAGGATGGTCATGGCTACCTTGGAATCTTGATAAGAATGGTCATGGTCACCCTGAAACTGGCGGGTGCCAATAGACGCTGAAGCCACCTGTGGAGGGCAACCATTTGAACCAGGAGGGCCAACGGCATCCACACTAGGCAGGTTACCCCCCAAAGGAAGATGCAACTCAGACCTTTGCACCAGAGTAGTCTTGGTGGGATGCCTCAAAACAGGCGTGGTAACCGGTAAGCCTTCATCCTCCGCGTCGCGCAAAGCCGGAAAAGCCAGTCGGATAACTTCAGAAATGTGAAACGTGCTCTTAGAGACATCCTTGGAGCTGCCCGACCGACTGCATCTCAATGTTAGTGATCCCATATCGCATTGACCGCCGTCACGTGCTGAACAGGTTTGCATGTGACTGTCCTATTGTCACCACCTAGTTGCATGTACGTGCCCCTTGCCGCTATGGCTGCTTGGCCCCTTCCTCGTTTGCACCCTCCCGGAAGCCGCGAGGCTTTCAAAACAGGATGGAACTTCCCTTTTTGAATGATTGTAAATGGGGCGCCAAAGGGAAACCCACACTCAAAAAACAGAAACTTCCATCCAGGAAGTACCCTTGGGTCCTTCCCAAGGAAGACTCAAACTTCCAGGTACTGTGGATGGACGCAATCCATTTCGCACCAACAAAGAAAGAATATTGTTTCAATGTCATGCTTCGTAGGCGGTGCCTAACAGGACTTCGCCTCCACCCTGTTCCCGTTCGATGGCGTCGCTCCTTGGCGCGGCAGTAGGGGCCTCCGCAGAGCGACGGGGTCTCGCCCACCTCGGAGAGTCCCCACTGCTTCGTTGCCCCGGACTGCCGATGTGGCATCTTCAGGTTCCGATTTGAAACGGATGATTCGGATTTGACCAAAAAGAAAAAGACCTGAGCAAGTAGGAGGCCCTTGCGGGCTCACCAAAAAAGTTGGAAATGAGGTCCTAAAAGGACAACCTTTTTTAACACTTTGAGCCAAAGCGCGAAAGGAGAGTCCTGGCTTCCTCTTCCAATGTGAAGCATCACCACTCAGCAAGACCTACTCCAAATTGCGAACGGATCAGGTCTGACCAGATTCAACATGGACTTATGCAGATCATTTGGGGAGTAGCTCGCTATCTAGTCTGCCACCAGCGCGTATTTCTGGGACGCCGGGTGGTCGAAGCACACCTTCAACGTGACTGAACTTGCCCGGAATTTCAGTGGCATTGCCAATCTTTGTCTTCGGCCACCTTGGGCTTGTATATGTAATTTTTGAGGATGAGCATGCATTGCCAGTACCCTAGGTCACTCTAATCCATGCATCCTGGAGATGCTCAATTCGAAAGAAAACGCACCACGCAAGTGAGCCTCCGTGTTGCTACGTCCTTCCTTCGAAAGCGGTGATGGCAAACGATAAACCCGGACTGTCCGATTCCCATCCCTGTGAGTTCGCCACCTTCTCCTCCTTCCCCACAGTGAGCCCGTGGGCAATGCTCAGCCGCCCACAATCCGCTCTGCTGGAATGCCGGACCTGAGAGACAATCTGAACTCTGTCTCTGACGTGAGCGTGGCACATGCTCTTCACCAAATACCTTGAAAATGTGCCTGATGTCTGTCCTTTGGGAAGCGGTAGTCTGAAGCACGGTCACTAATCTGCTTCTGCTTTGCAAGCCCATCATGGGCGTGCTGCCAGTGTCATGTGCGTTTCATCAACGCTATGTCAGTGTTTCTATCTCTCATCTCTTGAAGGAATTGTGCAAGTGCCTCCCCTCAAAGCGGACACCCCAAATAAGCAAAGTCCTGGTTGATCAATAGGAGGGGCGGTCCTTGTGCGGGGAATGCTGCAGTCCTGGCCCTGGACTTGTGCTAAGACTGAGACCTCTCAGCACATCCACGGATGTACTATGCAGCATGTCTTTGACAATACATGCCATAAGATCACATATCGCCGATCTACGAATTGTTGCAAAGAAACTCAGGGACCGGGTTGTAAAACAACAATGGATGAAAACCAGAAGGTTGTGTTCTCAACACAGCTGCGTACGTGAGAGAAGGCTGTCGGACAGCACTTGCGCAGTCGGCAGCATGTCAGCCGGCTCAGCAGGCAACTGACCAGCAGAGCACTCCCGGCGACCAGCAGAACAAAATGGAACAAACTATCACTATGACATTCGGTCCTTTGGCTTCGTGTACTGCACGTGTTCGAGATTGCGATGTTCGAGCTTGAGCTCCCATACTTGGGGCGCTACACTGGTACTCAAAGGTTACAATTTGGGTACAAACAAGTTGTTAATGAGTGTTCTGGACGCGCCCCCGGGATCACACATCACCAGCTTTTTATTTGTAACCAGCCCATGCGACAGCGTACGGCGTTGTCTGACAACTCACCCGCTCACCTCATTCCGTTTTTCGAGCTTGCGAGGCCACCGCATACGCACTTGCAGTGTGTACTTTTAGAAACTAATCCGAGCTGGAGCTGCCGAAATCTCCTTTGCATACTCTCTAAGCCAAATTTGCGAAGCACTCAGAAACTGAAGCGGGCAAAAAACGGGAACAAGCCCAACAACAGCTACCCGGACTTACAACCACACGTTGCAAAGGGCCAAAACATAGCCATAAGCACAACTGCTGAAAAAGCACGTACAGCTGTCTGCCTGGTTGTCTGTCTGTTTGTCTCGTCTTTCTGTCGGTCTGTTTGCCTGGTTGCCTGCCTGCGGCCTGGGTGCGGCAAAATATGGTTTAAACACCACCTTTTCCAGGGAAGAACCCTCATAACCAGTGGTTTAAACATGTTTAAACCAACCGGTGGCCCCATCCTTTCTTAACCGCCAAACCACCAAACCACCAATTGCAAGGAAGCACTTCCTTGGCTCTTGCCGGAAATTTCGAACCCCAGCGCCCAGCGGCGATGCCCGCCGAGGGCTCGGCTGCTGCAGCGCCTCCTGAAGCCGCAGCCGGTGGTCCCGGTACTTCCGCCACTGGGTGGACAGCACCAGGTCCTGGCGTTCCAACACGCGCACCGGCGCGCGCGGACCGGCGCGGGCGGGGCGACGTCGCCTTTTGTTTTTCCGGTGTTTTCGAGGGGCTGGTGTGTTGGCCGAGTCTGGGGTCAACCGCAGAAATTGTCCGGGGTTAGGCCGGATTTTCTGGGTTCGCCGCTTTGTTGAGTGACCAGTTTTTGCTGGTTTGCCAACTCCTGGTTTACCATTTTATGGTTCACCTGGTATACCAATGTCTTGTTTAGCAAAAAATAGCCCGTGTCAAAACGGCATCATTCGTCCTGTGAGCCGCAGGAACAAGCATCTAGAACTGTGCCCCTAAAAAGAATGGCATACTCCAAATCAGCCAGCCAAGGCAATGTTGAAGTCTGCTATTTTCCTGCTTCTTACTTGCATCCATCTGCATTCAGGCCCCAACCGTTCCCAAACGGCCCCTTCGAGTGGCACCCTCCAATTCCTTGGGCCCTGGCAGCCCCGGTCGAGTCCAGGGTACCTGGGTTGGTCAAACTAAGCATGACACACTGTCTATTCAGTCGAAACGATGCAACATGCAAAAGTAGAAGACAAAACAAAAGAAGAAAAAATCGATGATCCCCAGGGAAGAAGGCGCCCAAAAAAAAACCGGGGTTGAGATTCTGGGGTCTATTCAATAGTCAGTTGACAAACCGCTGCATGCCAAATGTTCAGAAGGTTGAAGCGTCCAAAAGGCCGCCAGGCGACCCTTGAGATTCCGGAGCAGCGCGGGATCCAGCTCAGGGGTACCCTCCACGTAGCGATTCAGCACCCCATCCACGTCCTGGCGAGCTGAGGCCTGGCAAAAGCCTCCGAGGGAGACATCGCGGAGGCTCAGTGGGGGGCCCGGAGAAGTGAAGGAAGGAAGGACAGAAGGCAGGAAGGAAGGCAGGAAGGAAGGTAAATAAGAAAAAATGAGGATGAAGGAACCAGGAAGGATCAAATCAAGAAGAACGGAAAGAAGGGAGGCAGAAAGCAGGGCAAGCAGACAGGCAGGAAGGCTGGAAATACGCGAAGCAGCAAGACAAAAGAGAGACAAATGCAAATTAAACAAAGAGTCCCCCTACACTTACACGCTTCGCGGTGCAACTGTTGAGAGTGGCCATAATTCTGACCATACTTGTCTCTAGGCAAGTTGAAACCACAATCCCCTTTCACATTGTTGCCGGGGATGTGAGCTAGACAATCTTCAGGAGACAATGGAAAAATAACATCTCCAACAGGGGATGCCAAAGATATATACATGTATTTGTTGATATACACAAGCATGACATATGCCTAAGAAGATTAGGTCAAGGAAATTACCCGAAACCTCACGGCTAAAAACGGTTCCGTGCTTACAGCATTCTCCTGGCACATGCATGCTCTTCAGTCCTGGAAGAGCAGCGGATGTCGCCCCGCACCTGGCCTCACTGTTCAGTCTTTTGGATCCGCTGATACAGACGGAGCAATTTATGGTCGAGGTGAAGGCCGCTTGTGAAGAAAAACAACATAGGCGTTGATGTCGCAGATATTCAAATAGGGACGGGATGTTATTTGCGATCCTTTTAGGGACCTTTTGCAGGATTCCACGATTGTGCGGGCCACAACAGGCAAAAGAATCTACCATGTTTCTGGGCCGGTCTTTGGAACCACTTAGCTTGCGAGCGGTCAAATGCAAGCTCAAAGATGCTAGGCTGAACCAAAGAGCAACCAGGGCTTGCTTTGCTTCCAACATCAAGCAAATCCTCCTGTGAAACTGGGTGTTTCCCTTGATCTTTCCTCGCACACCCATGCTTGGCCCATGAAGCGTCCAAAACAACATCCTTAAACTTCCATGGTCTGAGCAGGGAGCGGTGTGAAGGGAGCGGGCCAGGACCAAGCACCAGGCGTGTCCGAAGACTCCAGAAAGGCCTGCCGCCAATGCCGTGCCTGCACTATGAATAATGATCAGACATAATGAAGATGTTCATGTTGGAGAAGAAAGAAACACAGAAATAAGCAAGATATAGATGGATTCGAGATATATATCATGCTTGCAGTACTCCTTGTCTATGGTTTTACTTTCCATATCTATCTGTTTCTTGTTAACATGTTGTTTTGTCTACATGCTTTGTCCCATGTATGCGTCTCTTGAATTACAAGGAGACAAAGCGAAAAGGAACTGATTCTGATGAGAAAGTCTTAGTCAGGAGATGGGATGAGGCGTACAAGCGGTAGAGTGCATCGGCATCGCTCACTCTTTTCCTTTAACCCTCTCACTCAACAAGCATTGTTTCCGTGTCTATGAGTGAGTAAGATAGAGAAAGGTGGATGGCCATCCATTCACTTCTCTCCAATCCATTCGCATTCATATGCTGGACATTTAGTGAGCGAATGAAGTTGATGTTGTTTGTTAAGCGTATGTGTGTGTGTGTGAAATTTGGTAGCCACCTCCCAAAAAGAATGGTGGTTTCCTTTTGCACCCCAACAAGGGCAGCCTCAAAAAGACACGCCCGTCATCCGTCCAATTGAAATATTGCGAGTATTCATCCAGACACAGGTCACAAAGGAGGTCAAATTATGAACAAGAAGCTTCAAAAGATGTAGTTGGGTGATGGCAAACAGCTTGTGATGGCAAACATAGCGTGTTAAGACAACTCCATCTACACCAACGGAGTCAGAAAACCTGCTGATCTGTTCATGAACGAACAAACCAGAAGAACCAGGTCCATGAATAGCACACACCTCGTGCATACAGCGTTGATCACAACTGCCCAACAGGGCCACCCATGCATCTCTCGCACATCTCGGCCTGAAACAACTTAGGCATGGCTGCAAGGCCAGAGCTAGGCCCACATGGCACGCTGACTTGGTGAGGTATCAAGGTTCATGCCTGGCAGGCGGACGCCTCACACCTTCTCTGCGAGCATGCTGCTTCTGTAAGATGGATGGTACAGTACTTGCTGTCTAGTGCTTGTTCTTTCAAGCTATCTGCTCACGTTTTGCGCATGTGTCTATATGTGTATGTATGCGTGTGCATGTGTGTGTGTGTGTGCGTGTGTGTCAGATTGAGCAAGGTTCGATCCTTGCAATTGTCCATGATACTCCTGCCAGTGTCAGCCGTGAACAAGCAGCACGTCCTCATTCACAGCCGCAAGGACAACCCCTCCAACCTCTCCAAAAAGCAGCTCCATGTCGCATGGGCATTCGGGTAAATTATCCCTTGATCTTTGCTGTTCCAACAGATCTCCCAAAACCTCACAAGAACCTCCCACATGTTCGCACACTGGCCATCCAGTAAGGTTCAACCAGTTCGGACCTGGCGTTTGCATAACATCAGACCCGCAGCGTGGCGGGAAGGAGAGCATAGGGCGCCAAGCCTGACCAAATCATGTGAGTTTCTCGTTCTTTAAGGATACCTCTTTCTTGGGTTGGTTTGAAGGGAAACCAAAGGAACACCACCATTTGGGGGGGTCGCCTATAACAGGTCACGGAAAGCGGTTAAAACAGGGCTCTCCGCTTCGTTGCCTCTCATTGTGTCCCCATTCCCCAAGCATAGGCGGAGGGGATGCCACCACTGCTTAAAGGATCCTTGTAGGGAACCAAGCCGCTTGGGGGCAATGTTGACCCAGGATTCCCAAACGCCTGGCTGATTGATGGGGGGGGCTGTCCCGTTTGAGAGGCAAGCCATCACTTTTGGAGGAAACACCCTATAAATCTGCCAGGTTGATTCCAAAGTCCCCTTTGCATAGGCTGATAGCATCGTTTCTTCCACACCTCCCTTGTGTCCAGTTGGTATCGCGCAAAGCCTCTTAGGATGCGGCAGCCTCCCGCAGACGCGCGGTGGTCCAACTGCCCTCGCAGGCCACTTCCAGGGAGACGTCCCCCTTGACCTGACACGACTTGCGTGGCGAACCCCTGGACGCGACGTCGGGTCAAAAAAGTCCCGCACATGCCATGTGGGGTCCCCGAACACCGGGTCCGTTAGTATCCACTTTAAACGTCGTACCACCAAGAGGAGCTTGTTTCAATTGGCCCCAAATGTAGTGCTTAGGCAATCTAAGGACCCCAGGTGCCGAAAATCGGACCAAAACAGACTTGCCAACCCACCATCGCCTCCCTCACTCTCGGTCTGAGGTTTGACCTATCCAAATAGGCAAAAATACTCTGAGCAGAACTCGCCACACGCTTCACACATGCGAGCCAATGTGGCCATGGGATAAATTTCACATCGTACCCCCAGTAAACATCCCAATCCAACCACTTTCGGTTCTAAAATGGGCGGTGCACCAATTTCCCAAAATGGGAACTTTAAACGGTTTCGACCTACAGCCCATGTCCCCCGGGCCCAAATTCCAGGTGCCCCGGGCATTGCGCACGTTCACCTTCATGGCCTTGCCCTTTCCGTCGGCCTAGAGTATGGCTGCGTCGGTTCTTTGAGGGTACCCATTCTGGGATGACTTCGCAGAGAAGCCCCAAAAAACACGCACTTTTGAGAGAAGCTAAAAGGAACCAAAAGGAAACCAACCATTTTTTCGAGAGCTCAAAGGAAACAGAGAGGCCCAAAGGAAACCAACCATTCTTTTGAAAATTGCCCCTATTTTGACGCGTATGGTGCAAGGGACCAAGGATGGCATCGAACAGAGAGCTCAGGGGTCCAGGGGGCTGCTCATGTCTCTTGGCCCCTTCATTGCGACCGACTGTGGATGGAGGAAATCCTGCACCACCCTTCAGAAACCCCTGGAATGATGTTTGTCCTGGAAATACCAACAAACAATGGTTTCCCATTATTCTTGGGTGGTGCAGGATTCGTCTATCCACAGTATGATTTCTATAGCCCCTTGCACCTTCGGAAGTTGACACCTTCGCAGAATTCCTTGCCCCCAAGCGTCCGGCCGGCGCAGATGCTCCTGGAGTCAATTGATCCATCAGGGGAAAGCCTCGTCTCCCCTTCGTTTTGCCTTAATCCAACCCCGCGAGGGCAGCAACTACGAAAGACACCTAATTTGAAGCTCGCGGGTCGCTGGAAAGGAAACTTATCATTTATGTGTGTGTGTGTGTGCCTGTGTTTGTTGAGGGCATCCTTTTGCGGTGGCTTTGAGGAGAAAAAGGGAAGCCAAAGCCCATTGATGGTCCCATAGTTTCCTCCCTGGTGGGAGAGTGGCGTGATCAAGCGAAGAGCCAGCGGACCATCTAAGCCTCTCGCCGCATGTAAAACCTCAATGAAAACAATTCTAAATATGCGAATTCGTCTGATCTGAATGTGAACGTGTCGTGTTTGATATTTACAACATTCTAAGAAAATGGAAATGATAGTTCGACATACTCTTGTAAGTCCATCAGGCTACCCGTATCGAATCCTGTAACTTGTGCGTTCCAAGTCGCCCTTGAGCGTGATCGAGCAACCACCCAGTTTCTGATTGCCACAAAGAGCAGTTGCTGTAATTTGCCCATTGAACAGGCCGGGGATCACATGGCAAAGCCACGACTGTCCTGCCTTCTTTGGCATAGCCGTTGGTCTTCGCGACCCCGTTGCTATGCGCGACCCCGTTGGTGTGCGCACTCCCGTTGGTGTGCGCGACCCCGTTGGTGTGCGCAACCCCGTTGGTGGATGGTGCCTTGGTGAACCGACAAGAGCAACACTTTCCTCTCTCTAGCACACCGGACGCCATGCAATCTTCGAGCTCTCTGAGTGAACTTCTCTGACCGCAACTACATCCCAAGTGTTCCTGCAAGGCCACCGAATCCCCACTCTTGGTCGAAGACCCTGCGGTGAACAAGATCTTGCCAATGAGTACAAAAGCAAAGACTTTCCAACGCATGAAAACCTTAGTGGGGTCACACCAAAGAGCAACCAAGAGCAAAGCAGTCCAATATTCGAAGAAGACACTTAACAAAATAATGCTGATTCCAGTGACGACTGGAGCGCCAGGAAGACTGCCCAGAAAATGGTTGTTTGTCTGGCCAAAAACGCTCGTCAACTGGTTGAACACCCGGCTTGGTGCCAACAACAACAGCTTTATGGGAAAGCATCATATTTTGCCCATGCGTAAAAAAAGTCACGTTCCGTTCCAAGTATGCTGCGGCACCATTGAAAGCCCAGCCGCCAGCCCCGGGAACTTCTCCGTGGTGAGGCGGTGGGCCTGCGCTCACGGAAAAGGTTTCAAGTCAACGCCCAAAACAGCCACGTCCTTCTTATGGACCATGTGGCCATGGTTCAAGACCAATGGGATCCCATTTTGGGGTAGGTTAATTCACCACCCATTTTAGGACCTATTTTAGTGGGGATTGGGACGTTCAATGGGGGTGCGGGCTTTTGACAACGGCCATGTCGGTTTTTGTGGAGTTGCTACCCCGTGTTGATGTGTGGTTTGAAGGGCGACCGAAAGGAAAACCGCTTGGCTTTTTTTGGGGGGGGGTCCCTAATAGACACACCCTTATCTCCGCACATAAATCATAGCCCCAAAATGGCGGTGTCGAGGCAACTGCAAATGTGTCAAGGAGCCTTGAAAAACCAAAAGAAACGAAGAAACGTGACCTGTGAATGGACCATTGGCAAGCCCACAGGGCAATCAGGTAAAGAAGGAAGAGTCAGCATTTTCTAACGGTCAATCATTTGTCTCCAAAAAATGGACCTGCCAAAACACCAAAGACATCGGGGACCTTCTTCCTTTGGTTCCCCACCCCCAAAAAAAAAAGCCCCGCGCATCGCCTCCGCGCCCAGCTGATCGTGACCCCACTGTGTGGGGTGGAACCTCGAGTTTGCGCGTCCGAGCAGAACATGCGCCACAGTTGACTGTGTCTAGGGGTGTAAGCACATGCTTGGGGGGCCATGGGGGGGTGCGGGGGGGGGGGGGGGCTATTTTTGGAGAAGCCCAGGATAAGCCCTTTACAAGTCCTCATAGGAAGCACATACCCCTTGTTCATACCGGTTCCTTGGCTTCCGTGGTTTTTCCAACCCACTTAAGGGGTATATACCCCTTTTGGGGAGAGGGGTATGAACATCAGCAGGCCTTTGGGGTTCATTTCAAAGGGGTATGTAAAAAGGGGTATGTACAAGCACCCCTGGACTGTGGCTCAAATATAATCTATCAAAATGGGCCCCTTCGCAAATGGAACCAATTCTAAAACCTGCGGACACCCTTGATCATTTGGAAAGCAGGTCCAAGGTGCAGAAAAATATCCGAAATCTTGCAGACCCCATTGAAACAGGTTCGACTCACATGCTGAAGTGTATGTGCGGAATCATCATGTTTGTCTCAGTTCGTTGAACAGCCGGGTGATGAAATACAAAATCCAACAGGGTCTTTCCAGTGATTCTCCTTGACACCACAAAAACTTCCGTAACGCCCCGCACTCCACTCCGCCGTTCACAAGTGGACATGGATCAAAATCCCGTACCCCCAGTGAATATCCCAATCCAACCACCAAAAAAGGTTCAAGAATGGGTGGTGAATTCACCAATCCCTTCTCTTTCTCTTTCTCTTTCTCTTTCTCTTTCTCTTTCTCTTTCTCTTTCTCTTTCTCTTTCTCTTTCTCTTTCTCTTTCTCTTTCTCTCTCTCTCTCTCTCTTTCTCTTTATCTTTCTTTATCTTTCTCTTGCTCTCTCCTTCTCTCGCTCTCTCTCCCTCTCTCTCTCTTTCTCTTTCTCTTTCTCTTTCTCTTTCTCTTTCTCTTTCTCTTTCTCTTTCTCTTTCTCTTTCTCTTTCTCTTTCTCTTTCTCTCTCTCTCTCTCTGTCTCTTTCTCTTTATCTCTCTCTCTCTCTCTTTCTCTTTATCGCTCTCTCTCTCTCTCTCTTTCTCTTTATCTCTCTCTCTCTCTCTCTCTCTCTCTCTCTCTCTCTCTCTCTCTCATTCTTTCTCTTTCTCTTGTTCTCTCCTTCTCTCGCTCTCTCTCTCCCCCTCACTCTCTTTCTCTTTCTCTTTTTCTTTCGGTTTGTCTTCTCTTTCTCTTTCTCCTTCTGTCTCTTTCTCTCCTTCTCTTTCTCCGTCTGTCTCTTTCTCTCCTTCTCTTTCTCCTTCTGTCTCTTTCTCTCCCTTTTTTGCAAGCCGGAGTTGCGGGAGTGTACTTCGCGCACAACTTTTCTCTTAAAATGTGCGATTCTCAGGCCGGAGATGCGGGAGCGTACTTTGCATACTACTTTTCTACTTCTTGGACGGGCGGCCCGCTTGCTAAGTAGTTAGCAGGCTTAAGCCACTTACGAGGCAACTTGCAAATTCCCTAAGTAGCACTTATAAGCCCGCGAAGTCTAAGATGGCGAACTTGCAAGTCTGCTAAGTTGCTGCTAACTGAGGTGGCCCATTTGGGGCGCTTATTACCCACTTACTGAGTCCGCGCAACCACTTAGTAAGCTCTCCAACTTTCTAGTCACACTTAGTCGCGACTTAGTAGACTTGCAAGTCCGCTAAGTCAGATTTATTACCTGCTTAGCAAGCGGCCCGCCCATCCAAGTCAAAAACTTGCGATTCTCAGGCCGGAGCTGCGGGAGCGTGCTTCGCGTACTACTTTTGTACTTAAATTTTGCGAAAACCACAGCGAGAGCGATCCGACACGCGCAATCTCCGCAGAGGGTTCGTCGGCGAGCTTTGAAATTCGCACGGCGCCACAGCGAGAGCGATTCGACACGCGCAATCTCCGCAGAGGGTTCGTCGACGAGCTTTGAAATTCGCACGGCGCCACAGCGAGAGCGATTCGACACGCACAATCTCCGCAGAGGGTTCGTCGACGAGCTTTGAAATTCGCACGGCGCCACAGCGAGAGCGATTCGACACGCACGATCTCCGCAGAGGGTTCGCCGGCGAGCTTTGAAATTCGCACGGCGCCACAGCGAGAGCGACTCGACACGCACAATCTCCGCAGAGCGTTCGCCCGCAAGCTTTGAAATTCGCACGGCGCCACCGCGAGAGCGCTCCGACACGCACAATCTCCGCAGAGGGTTCGCGGGCCACGTAAAAAATTCGCACGGCGCCACAGCGAGAGCGCTCCGACACGCACAATTGACAATCTCCGCAGAGGGTTCCTCCGCAAGCTTTGAAATTCGCTCCCAAAACGGTTTTGACCACCACAGCCCAGAATGGCCCCGCTCGAGCGAGCCCTCCAGCTGAGGTCGGCGCATGGAGAAGTCCCACATGGAGCGGTCGAAGACCGCGGGGCCGAAGGAGTGCCGCAGCCGCTCCAGCGCCGCCACCTGTCCGCGTCGCGGAAAGCCGAGCGAGAGCTGCCCGCCCGGTGTCCCTGGAAGAAAAATGAAAAAACGCCACAATTTCATCGGCCTTTTGGAAAGATGGATGGCCTACATGGAAGAAGGAAAAACAGCTAAACCAGGGCCCTCTATCTTTTGAAACAGACCAAAAAGGACACCTGTGGCCGGAATCAGCTTCCCTCATTGGCTTACATTGGAGGTCAGCTTCCCTCCACATGGCTCAAATTGGCGGTTTGGAGCTGAGATGCCTGACTGAAGCGGAGAGAAGGGGTATGAGAGTGCCACAGGTTCTACCAAGGACTCCAGATCAAATCACAAAGCCAATCCATGTGAAGCAGAAAATGACTCCCGCACGCAACGTCCAGCTCAAGTCCTGACACAGGAACTGGATTAGGAACCTCCCTTCTGTGCCCTTGTCATCCTGTCTTACACCACCAAAGACGACAATTGCTCTCAACGATGTTCATTACGAGTGACTTTCTCTTCAAGAACAGGAACCAGGTTCCTCTGGCTCACCAGCGGCAAAAAACAACCCAGCAGATCGCTTACCACAGGTGCACAAACCTTGCCAGCAAAAGATGTGCTCACTCTCCTGTCCCTGCCAATGTGATGCAAGGAATGTGTTTTCGCCGACACCCTCCCTTCGACAAAAAGTACGGTTTGGCCACGGGTCAAACTCCAAATCGTACGCCCAGTGAACACCCAATCCAACCACTAAAATAGGTTTTAAAAAAAGGTGGTGAATTCACGAATCCCAACCAAAACACTTTTGACCACCACAGCCGTTTGGTCCCAAGGCGAAAAGACCTCGCCTCATCAAAGAAGACACAGGTGCTGTCCGCATGGCTCTTGCTGAAGTCCTCGCGACCGGAACGAGCAATGCTCGAACAAGCTGACGACTTGGAAACGCAAAACTCGGTGGCTTTCTGCTCCCCTGCGAAAAGTAAAAAAAAAAGTGGCTTAAAGTCCTAACACGAGTGAAAAACCCATTAGTTGGCAAAAAGCTGAAGTCCCAACATCCAAGCAAAATGCAACAAAACAAAGGTGTGTTCCGAAAAAGGGAACTCCTTGTTGGGTGTCAAAGGAAATCCCCTTTGAACAAAATGAAGGGCCATTGTTGGGCGCGCCCCAAAAATGGGAACACCCAAAAGGGGCCTTTTCCCTGTGAGCAAGCCATCTTCCCTTGAACCAGGAGTATGCTCCAGTGTGGAGCAGAAAGCATTTCAGGCCCAGACAGCGGGGAGAGGGCTCCTGATGACCACTTGGATGTCACTGGCCTTGTCCGTTCTCAGGGCTCCAAACCTTGGACCCCGAAGCCCGGGCGCCCTTCAATGGCCACGGAAAAACCCCCGGTTTGCTTAGGTCCCAAACTGGGTCCTCCAGATTTGAGAGCTTAGAATCAGGGTACCGATTATTTTTGCAGATTCGTCTATTCTAGTAGGGGAAACCAAAAACCCAAAAGAGAAAGGGTAAAAGGGCCCCAATCGCTGGGGGACCTAGCAAAAATTGAAACCACCCCCAAACAGAGTTCAGCATAAGAAAAAAAAACAAAAACAAAAAAAAAAAAGTCCTGCACCAGCTCCTCCCAGCGCTCGTGCAGGGCTGTGGCCTGAGGACAACGGGGATCGGATCCGCCGTGTTTCACACGCAACCACGGGGTGAGGGAGAGAGGAACCCGGAGGGCAAAGAACAAACAAAAAAATCCCTGGCACCCCCCAATGGCCCAATGGCTGGCAAATAACCCCAAAACAGCCAGGGGAGGTCATTCCACAGACCATTTGCCAGCCATTGGGGGGTTCTGGATGTGCGACTCTTGTTTTCAGAGAGATACAAACGATGTCCTGCATGTTCCAGTCAAACCGACCAAAATCACAGGAGCTTCCCTTGCTCACCACTAGGGGTGATACCAGAAGGGGCCAAAATAGATGGAATGGGGTTCGGGGGTACTTCGACCCAAAGTAGGCCATTCTGGACGCAAAGTATTCCCCTCATCCCCCCGCTTGTCCTTTGACCCAGGTAAAATTACCAACAACAAAAAAACATACCTCGGTTGCTTTGTGCTCCCCTGCTAAAAGCTTAACTTTTAGTGGTTTAATACGGAAAACCCATTGGTTTCCAATCCAAGCAAAAAGCAGCAAAAATACCTTGCACCCACTCGCACATAGGACTCTCCGACCAACAAAACAGAGGTGCCTGCACCTCGACTGCCAGTCGCGGAGGGTCTCCAGGCGACACGCCCAGTGCCTCGAGGCGGAGCGTTTTCGAGGTCCATTTGGTGCGCGTTTAGAGGCAAAACAAAGGAAACCAACCACGAAAAAAAATCCCCTAACCTGAAAAACCCATTATTGGGATTCAGTTTCGATTGGCTGACATGGGTGTTTATGTTGACCAACCAGATGGGAGGATTCAGTGCCATTTCGGTTCCATGTTGTACAAGGACTCGCTCAATCCACGCCAAAGCGTTCCTCCATGCCCTGACGAAGTTGCACGCTGTAGCCGCAATCCATGCAGTCCAAAGGTGTACAATGCAGACTGCTGCAATGATAGTGCAGCGCAAAGCAATGTTCCATAAGTGCTGCCGTCTATCTGTGGCTTGGCAGCAATGTGAGAGCACAACAAGCTGGACGTGTCTTAAACGATAACCCCGCTCCCCGGGAGTATCAACTGAGGGGACAAATTCATCAGGGACCCGTTCCCATTCTCCCTCCGCAACGATGCCTCCAGCTTGCCAGAATTCACCATGCCGGCAATGACTGGCCTGGCATGAGTCACAGGTTGAAATGCTGGATTCGGCCCTCTTCAGGGTCAGACAGGGATTCATCCGATACTCACAAGCAAACATGAGGGCCAGACATGGCCATGTTGAACACTGGCATGTCCAGAAAGATCGGCACCTGGGCGGGATCCAAAAATTGGCGCAATCAGAATCAATCCTGGTATTCAAGTCTACAAAAAGCATGCAAAGATCTGTTAGCGGCCGCACTCAATGACAAGTGGGACGTTTCCCTGCTGACCTTCATCTTGGTTTTGATTCGCGGCTCTCTCTCATTGCCTGCCCTCTTCTGAAGGTCCGCTAGATGACAAAAAAAAATAGGTGTCTTCTCATATCCGCACTTATGTCTGATCGTCCAAAATAAAGGTAAAGTCCACATCAAGGCCAACTCAAAAAACTAACTTGTTGACCCTGGAATCCTGGAATAATACACCAATAGGCGAGTTCCTGTAGGTTTCAATGACAACCATACGGATATGAGCAACGGGCAGGCTGGATCATCTCAAAAGCCTGGACCGGCCTGTGGTTCTGTCAGCCCTCTCTTCAACAGTTGTGCAAGTGGAGACAAGGCCTTTGTTTAGATGATCTCAATGGTAGTCTTCCAACCTCCTTTTGTGCATGTCCCAAAGGCCGAGAAAACTTTGAAAGCGCGGCTAGGCAGCCACCCCCCTTCTGGCAGAGCCCAGGCCCGCGATGGGACCAGGGCAGGCCCGAAAAGGACCGCCTGGGCCTCCCGACACCAGACACCAAGAAGTTCCTGGCGCCCGCCTGGAAACGAGCGGAAAGAGCCATCCGGGAAGGAACGTCCTGTTTCGCCGGGGGCCGGGGTTTTTCTTTGATCTTAAAGGGAAACCCACCCCCCGTAATTCTAACAACAAGGGCAAGGGAGCCACTGGTTGCAACTGGCCGCAAGCAAGTGGCAACCAGGCCGAGGTTCATTGGTTTGGCGAACCCCTTATGAGGCAAAGGCACTGCTGGAGCTTCAGTCTCTCAAGCCATCTGGTTTTTGACTCCAAACAAAATGGCTGTGGCTCAAAAAATCGATACCCAAAATGGAAGCCTGGTAAGTGGAAAACATGGACCAAAAAACCTGCGTAACCCCCCTCCTGCTTAATTTTGAGCCCACCCAAATGGTTTTCCTTACCCTCAAAAAGTACCGAGCCTCCATAATCTGACCAGAAGTTCTTTCCCTTGTAGCACGGCAGGGCAGCGTGTTTTGGTACAAGTGTGTCAATATGTGGTTTGGTGTCCATCAACGCATTTTTGCTTCAACCAACTATAATGTCCTTTTGGTTCTCCGAGACAAGACTTGACCATTTAAGCCACCTCCTATGCATTCCCCTTTGAAAGGGACCAGGGCAGCTGGACGTTCAACAAACACAGCAAAGCCAACTGCAAACATGCAAGGCTCCACCTGTGCACTCTTGGGTCTACATTTTTCGCTCAGGCTTGTGGCTTTCTCATATCCGCGTTTGACTCCAAGCGGAAGCGTCTGAACCTGCGAGCGACTTCCTCTGGGGCGATTGCCCGGTGCATGGACACCAGGAACTCCTTCATGATCTCAGCCGGACAGATTCGAAGCGAGGATACCTATGACAATGGCTTGCCTGGCGGACATCAAGACGAAAATTTTGAGCGGATGGTACGGTATATCAGCATATCAGGTGGATCAGTATAACTGTCACCAGAATCATTTTGCATATCGCGTGGCACATGTATCATTAGAGAAACGAGAGAGAATAAAACACATCTGGTCCGTTGCGAACATGTCGACACTGCCCGAGCGGACAGTCCCTCCTGCTGTCTCGAACTCAAACCCGGCGTCTCAAAACAGATCCCCGACAGTTCGAAAGGAAAACAAGAAGCCATCCGAATTGCTCCATTTTGCAGATTACACCGGTGCAACGGAATCGGAAGGGACTTGGAGCGGTGCCATCCAAATTCCTTTCCCAGGGGCCCGCGACACCAACCGGAGGGAGGCCCTTTTGAGTCCATGGGTCCATCAAATGGACGCGATTGGTTTGCCCTTTTCGTTGGCCTTTCCTCTAACCATCGGGCCCTTCACCAATTGCAAACACCGGGCATGGAAATCTACTTTCAAATCTTTTCCAGAATCAAAGGACCTTCTTCTCAAAGGCCGCATGGCAATCATGCCCCAACGTTCCGTTCCCTGTCTGATTTGGGCGTGTCTATTCTTCAGGGTGCCCCTTTTTGTGTGTGTTTTGAAGGGAAGCAGCAAACCCGCTTGGCCATTTTGGGGGTCGCACCAAGACTTGCCTCTCTCGCAGCTTGGGCTCGCGGCTTGCACCTCTGACACCCCAGGGTTGGGCTGCAGCATCTCTGGCGTGGCCATGCCGCCTGGCTGGAGGGCTCGTTGAAACGGAGGCGGGGCTGAAATGGCCGTGGCTCAAAAAGCCGGAATTCCAAAATGGAACCCTGGTAAGTGGAAACATGCACCAAAAAACCTACGTAACCCCTCCTGTTTAATTTTGAGCCACACCCAAATGGGTATGGCTCAGAGTTAAGCGAGGAATTGGGCCGCAGGCTTTTGTGCTTGGTCCCATTTCGGGCAACCCATTTGGGGTACATAGTTTTGACCCGCAGCCAAATGGCCAGAATGAGTTTTGGACGCTCCAGTTCGTTTGAGATGGGGAGCCCAGATTCCTTGAAGTAGTCGAGCCAACGCCGTTGGCTTTCGACCACGCGGTGGTCCCAGATTTGCTCCCAACGAAGGGTTCCAGAAGACCTCCGGCGCGTTGGTTGTTCAAGCTTGGTTCCCGGTTCAGCATCCCAGCCTTGCACGCCACCAAGAAACCCAAGACCTCCACCCATAAAGGCCTCCAGGCAAGCATCTTGCGCACTCGGTGTCACCGGATCCCCAAACTGGCAGGTGGCTTTGCGGCTTGCGCTTGGCTTGACGGCCGTGTGCCATTGCAGGAGATCGTCCCATCCGTGTCCCAGCCGTTCACATCTAACTTCAGATCGGCTACGTGTGAAACCAGGCTTGGCCCCTTGAATCTAGGCAGGAGAAGCATCCTCAGCCCTAAACTCTCCAAAAAGTTGCTTGCCAACGTGCAAAGCGTTGCCCCCCTCCTCCGCCATCTTCATAATGAAATCATTGCCGCACCTTGGATCCGAGCCGGTACTCAAATTCTCCGCAGCTCCCAGTGGGGAGGTCAGTTGGCCATGGGTCAAAATCCAAATCGGTTAGCCCCCAGTGAACATCCGATTCAATCCAACCACTAAAATAGGTTCTAAAAGAAATGGGTGGTGAATTCACCCGCCAAAATCGGATCAACCGTTTAACGGTTTTGACGCCCGCCAGTTCTGCCGTTGCCAGGGCACGTGTGGACCACCACCAGCGTCTCCGGCGACAGCAACCCGCCAGGCGCTTTCGGCACCTCAGTCATCTGCTTGCCGGGAGCTGTGCACGCGTCTTGCTAGTCTGGGTTCCCATGAAGGGAAACACGAGAATCCGCTGATGCTTTGGTAGGAGAAAGAAAGAAAGAAAGAAAGAAAAACAGAACAACAGCAAAACAGAAAAGCAGAAGAAGAAAAATAGAAAGAGAAAGAGAAAGACAAAGAAAACGAAAAAAAGAGAGGGGGAGGGGCGGGGTCGCTTCACTTGACCTCCTGCGGCCAGCCTGCGGGCTCATGATCGCCCTTTGTGCTTGGCCCCGAATATCTGCACATAGGGAGCCTGGCTGCAACACGCGGCAGTTCTGCCATAGACCCCTGCCAAAAAGGCACTAATACAACAGAATACAACGTTCAAAGGAAAAGGCACTAAAAAACACGTTCAAAGGCACTACAGTAATACAACAGAATCGCAAGAGGTCTCTCTTCAAAAACCCCGCGGAAATCGTGCCGCTGAAATCCCGAAATCGGTCAGGCATGCTGCGACTTCTGCAACGCATCGATCCCCTTGCCACTGAACCCCTTGTCAGGAAAGCAAAGCCTCACCGGTCGGGCAAAGTCACCGCCTGCTTGCGCGAAGTTGTGCACCGGGGCGCCCAAGCGACGCCCGAGGACCTGCGCCCCACAGGAGAGCTCCGATGTACTCCCCGACGCTGCGACGCTGCTCAAAGCCTCCTTTTTTTGGTTCGGGTTTCCTCCCCTCGGCTTCTTTGATTAATTTCTCTGTGCTGAAACAGCGCACCTGCGTGATCGCACGGATCAACAAAAATGAAAGGTACTTATTCTTAAAACCTCCACAAAGTGACAGACCCTGCATCCCAGCTCAGCTCAACTCAATGCACCTGTGGCCAAGTTGGATGCATGTAGTCAGCCCATGAGTCCTGACCAGCTCTGTCACTGACCCGGCGCAACCACAAACCGTTGAAGCTGCACGTGGGGCTCAGCAAGTTGAGCAGAGCACACGGCCAAATATAACAAGATGACACGGACCAAACACGCTGCAAGCAATGAGAGTAAAGCCGAAAGCTGCTATCGTTGTTCTTCTCTTCGCCGCTTAGACTGTGTGGCATCAAGAGGCCAAAACATGACTGACTGCAAGGATCACGGTCCCCAAAGACCAGCACAGACCAGTTGTGGGCCGGCATGGCTTTCACAACATTACGCGCCAAAACTTTCACAGCACATCATGCAACAGTGAGTTGGTAGATGCGCGGAATGGAATCAACATATGCCTGAAATCAGAATGTCAGTGACGTGCGTTTCTTCTCGCCGATTTCGATCTCATACACCAGCTGCGAACCAGAATCTGATTGAGATGCCAGCGGGTGCAAGATGCGTGCAGAATTCCCAAGAAAAATGAGGGAAGAAATGCCAAGGAGGTCATCTGCTAACATTGCGCAATATTGCATGCTGTGTTTAGCGACATGCCGCTTAGGCAAAGCGCCCCTTGACCTGCGGCAAGCCTGTAAATGTGCGTGGTGTTTTGTGAGAGTTACACGTCAACCCACTGATACACGCCAACGCCGAAACTGGAGCTCTTGCTGCGAGAATCTCAGTCACATTACCAACCTTTCAACCATTTTTCCATCTGGTTCCCCACCTTACTAAAAATGTTCGACCAGCCGATGGACTTTATTGGTCTCCACCGCCAATTTTCCAGGCAAGGGGGCATATCATAGGTATAAACTGCGCGTGTTGCGCCGAATTTGTCAGGATGGAGTGGTTCTTGATTTGCCCGGCAAGACCGTTTGTTTGTACCGGGCAACCTGCTTGGCTGAGCTAGGTTTCGACGTCCTGCGTCATGCACCAAATGTGAAGCGCGGGGAGCTCTTGAAAATCAGCCTTCAGCACATCAAAGCAACTTCCAAAACCCACCCAACTCAATTTACACTTGTTGATCAGCCGTTTGGCGATCCGCCGGTCACGCAAACCCCGAGCTGAGGGGGGGGGGGGGATGTAAGAGGGAAGAGTATGTATAATGTGCCGGGGAGAGGTCTGGGCATCAACATCACACTGAGAGCTGGCTTTCAGGCAGATCTTGTATAGGAACTGATTTCATAAAATTGCAAATCTTAGTCTGAGAAATTGGCTTCCAGGGGAATTTGGTAGGAATGAAATTGCAGATATTACAAATTAATTTGTAAGGTAAGGCAACTATTCTCCAAAATAACAAATATTACAAATTTTACAAATTCTAGTCTGAGAAATTAGCTTCCAGGGGAATTTGGTAGGAATTAAATTACAAATTTTACAAATTTTACAAATTTTACAAATTAATTTGTAAAATTTGTAAAATATCAATAAAATCTGGCCCAAAATTACAAATTTTACAAATTTTACAAATTAATTTGTAAAATTTGTAAAATATCAAAAACATCTGGCCCAAAATTACAAACTTTACAAATTTTACAAATTCTAGTCTGAGAAATAAGCGTCCAGGGGAATTTGGTAGGAATTAAATTACAAATTTTACAAATTTTACAAGTAAATTTGTAAAATTTGTAAAATATCAATAAAATCTGGCCCAAAATTACAAATTTTACAAATTTTACAAATTCTAGTCTGAGAAATTAGCTTCCAGGGAATTTGGTAGGAATTAAATTACAAATTTTACAAATTTTACAAATTTTACAATTTTTACAAATTAATTTGTAAAATTTGTAAAATATCAAAAAAATCTGGCCCAAAATTACAAATTTTACAAATTTTACAAATTAATTTGTAAAATTTGTAAAATATCAAAAATCTGGCCCAAAATTACACATTTTACAAATTATAGTCTGAGAAATTAGCTTCCAGGGGAATTTGGTAGGAATTAAATTACAATTTTTACAAATTCTAGTCTGAGAAATTAGCTTCCAGGGGAATTTGGTAGGAATTAAATTACAAATTTTACAAATTAATTTGTAAAATTTGTAAAATATCAAAAAAATCTGGCCCAAAATTACAAATTTTACAAATTTTACAAATTAATTTGTAAAATTTGTAAAATATCAAAAAAATCTGGCCCAAAATTACAAATTTTACAAATTTTACAAATTCTAGTCTGAGAAATTAGCTTCCAGGGGAATTTGGTAGGAATTAAATTACAAATTTTACAAATTTTACAAATTTTACAAATTAATTTGTAAAATTTGTAAAATATCAAAAAAATCTGGCCCAAAATTACAAATTTTACAAATTTTACAAATTAATTTGTAAAATTTGTAAAATATCAAAAAAATCTGGCCCAAAATTACAAATTTTACAAATTTTACAAGTTCTAGTCTGAGAAATTAGCTTCCAGGGGAATTTGGTAGGAATTAAATTACAAATTTTACAAATTTTACAAATTATACAAATTTTACAAATTAATTTGTAAAATTTGTAAAATATCAATAAAATCTGGCCCAAAATTACAAATTTTACAAATTAATTTGTAAAATTTGTAAAATATCAAAAAAATCTGGCCCAAAATTACAAATTTCACTGGAAGCTAATTTCTCAGACTAGAATTTGTAAAATTTGTAAAATTTGTAATTTTTGGCCAGATTTTTTTGATATTTTACAAATTAATTAATTTTGAGATATTTTTACAAATTTTACAAATTAATTTGTAAAATTTGTAAAATTTGTAAAATTTGTAAAATTTGCAATTTAATTCCTACCAAATTCCCCTGGAAGCTAATTTCTCAGACTAGAATTTGTAAATTTGTAATTTTGGGCCAGATTTTTTTGATATTTTACAAATTTGTAAAATTTGTTAAATTTGTAATTTTGGGCCAGATTTTTTTGATATTTTGCAAATTTTACAAATTAATTTGTAAAAATTGTAAGTTAATTCCTACCAAATTCCCCTGGAAGCTAATTTCTCAGACTAGAATTTGTAAAATTTGTAAAATTTGTAATTTTGTGCCAGATTTTTTTGATATTTTACAAATTTTACAAATTAATTTGTAAAATTTGTAAAATTTGTAATTTTGGGCCAATTTTTTTGATATTTTACAAATTTTACAAATTAATTTGTAAAATTTGTAAAATTTGTAAAATTTGTAAAATTTGTAATTTAAAATCCTGAGACCCCCCCAAAAAATAAATTCCCTGGAAGCAAATATCTCAGACTAGAATTTTAAAAATTTGAAAATTTGTAATTTTTTGGTGCCAGAATTTTTTTTAAATATTTTAACAAATTTTTACAAATTAATTTTTACAATTTGTAAAATGTGTTATTAAAATTGTAAATAATTAAAAACCAAATTAATTCCTACCAAATTCCCTGGCAAGCTAATCTTCCAGACTAGAATTTGTAAAATTAGTAAAATTGTAATTTTGTTGCAGATTTTTATTTGATCATTCACAAAATTTTACAAATTAATTGTAAAATTTGTAAAATTTTGTACTTTTGAGGAGTCCAGATGTTTTTGGATATTATTTACAAATTTTTACAAATTAATTGTAAATTTTGGGGCCAGATATTTTTGATAATTTACAAATTTTTTTTTTTTTTTGATATTTTACAAATTTTACAAATTAATTTGTAAAATTTGTAAAATTTGTAATTTAATTCCTACCAAATTCCCCTGGAAGCTAATTTCTCAGACTATAATTTGTAAAAATTGTAATTTTGGGCCAGATTTTTGATATTTTACAAATTTTACAAATTAATTTGTAAAATTTGTAAAATTTGTAAAATTTGTAATTTAATTCCTACCAAATTCCCCTGGAAGCTAATTTCTCAGACTAGAATTTGTAAAATTTGTAAAATTTCTAATTTTGGGCCAGATTTTTTTGATATGTTACCAATTTTACAAATTAATTTGTAAAATTTGTAAAATTTGTAATTTTGGGCCAGGTTTTTTTATATTTCACAAATTTTGCAAATTCATTTGTAAAATCTGGAAATTTCACTTTTTACACATGTACTTGCGACATTTTGTGAAATGCTTAATTGTTAACCATATTTGTTGGAATTTGGCATAGTTCAGAAACTAATCTGCAAAATGTGTATAACTTGTAAGGTATCTCCAGCCAAATCTCCCCGGAAAGCAAATTCCCCAGAGTACGTTTCAATGTCAGCAAACATCCGATTTAGAATTACAAGCTGGATTTGAACAAACATTGCTCGGGGGTTGCAAATTGCACAAGCTAGTTTGTAAAAAGTCGGTCCAGAATTACACAAATTACAAGTAAAGGTGTGAACATTGTAAACTTGATAAAACTTGATCACCGTCCTTCCCTTAACGGCTTTTTTTGGGTCAAGTTTGTTTCATTTTGAATCGGTTGAAGTTTGGTAAGGAAATGGGGAGGAAAGCATATTATCTTTTCATTTGGAATCTCTCTTTTCTGTTGTTTCCATGTGTTTGTTTTTCTTCAGGATCTCGAACTCATACTCCTTTCTTTATCTTTCACTCTCTCCCCTGACCATTTCTTCCTACAATCAACTCAATAAACTAGGATTGAAAAGACAGGGATAAAGAAATAAACATAAGATAGGTAAAGGAGAGAGGACATCTTCTGCAACACGCTTCTTTTGGATAACTTTCATACCACACATACCTGATGGAGAAAGAGATGGAGAAAACCGTACAAATAGAAAGACATGGAAAGGCGACTGGGATTGTGGGATGGATTCATTTGTATCTCAGAGATTTTATCGCATACCAGGTTAGACCAATCGATGAAGGTAAGGGAAAGGGAAAGGTGTGAAAGAACAAAGAATGATTAAGAAAATCTTCCGCCCAGACATCACGCAGAATACACCAGATAGCCTGTCCGTGAGACTTGGAGGATATGATGATTGAAGATTCCCTCACTATCCCTTTCCAGCCTGTCTTTGGGGCCTCTTCCAAATCATTGCCTGCTTCCTCTTGTCCATCCATCCTCATCCTTTATTTGCATTTAT